TCCCTAACCACACATCTGCTGGCAAAGGTTAAAAAGTCAGGACTGAATTGATATATTGTATGTCTTAAATGTAAGACCTCGAAATAGAAGTGGTGTACATGGTTAGCACATCCTTCAGATGATTGAGTATCAGACTGGGACAACAACAGGTTTTCATAAGCAAACATCAAATCAATAGCAGTGCACCATGAACCTGTGAACTGTATATAAACGATAGAAATGGCTGATATCAACCTTTAGTTGGTGAAGCTTCTTGTTCTGGAGCATTTTGGCCATCTTGGTGCTACATCTTCATCTTCTATTTACAGTCTTTGACAATTTTGCTCTAAGCTTGGTGGGTAAGCACCCTGGAGGTTACTCTGTGATTAACCTCGATACATCAATATTTTACCGCTATTTCCTTCAGAAAGATGGCCCTGCTCCATGCCACTACAACCCACAGACCAAACCAGCTAAAGCCATCACTTCCTGTTTCAAATCCACGTTGCCGCGGCTACACGGTGTGCACTCAGTGAGTCTTATTTACATTTCTTGTGTTTTTCTACATGCCGTAATTACTAATTTAAGACTTCGTATTTTACATTAGCTGCATTAGAACATTTTTATGTTATTAGGTGCTTTTTCAATTTGTTTAAATGATGATCAGATTTTTACATGCTTTTAATGGAAATTCATCTGATTTTAAAGGGATTAGTTATTAAACGGGATTTAGATAACTCCTGTAAATAAAATATAACATCACAAGATTATGTAACAGATAAAGAAATCAAACACACACTGAATTTATTTAATGGGGCACGGATAACACGGACTGGAGACAGATTAAAAGAGAAAGCAGATGCAAAGCAAAACAATGAGTCTAGCAGGCGCGGACGATTCGAATTTTGCATAAGACTGCAGGAGGAAAAGTCCTAAATGACTTCGATAGAGGGTTGAGGCACAGATGGCAGGATATTTAGTCAATAGTGATCAACTGGTTAGTGTTTCCGTAAGGAAAGTGCCTAAAATAACAGCTGCATTTAGGAAATATGGCCAACAATTTGATGCATTGCACAGTTTTGGCTCGCAGGTATTACTCATTCATATTCTGAGCTCATTATTTGAAACATTGACCATATTTATTTATTGCATATAAGTATGGACCATTGTAACAGTATGCATAGAGCAGAATATAGAATAAAAGAGCAACTATTTCTATCAGATTGTTTCATCAGAGTCTATAAATTATTACAGATACATTAGGGTTCAACCTGTAGTAACATCCATACATTATGATACTCATAGACATGCCTTTTGTATTGCGAATCAATACAAAGTTGTTCTAATTTATAATCTATATACTGTGAACATTTCCATTCCGATGGAGTGCTCTCTTTCAGGAAGACAATGCCTCCAATCGTGGGCCGTAGAGTCTCACTGAACGATCTTATAAGAAAGCTAATGGTGTGAATCGTATGATTAGGCTTTCAGCTGAACACTCATGGGTGATTTTTAGATGGATGTGATAGAAACCGCTCTGCACCAAACACCAACTGAGGGGATATCTTCTGAATGAATGGCGTTCCCTTCCTCTTGTAGTGTTTGGAGTACTTGGATATTAAATACTGAGATGTGTTGAAGCTTAGACCCCATATTGCGTACACTTTATGTTTGTTTCTTTGGTTGCAGTCTCCTGTTTGTTAGCAATCAAAGGTTACAACATTTAGAATTCTTTGAATTCATACTAGAAAGCTACAAACTGACAATATATCATAAATTGAAAAGTAATTACAGTTACTTGTGTATTTCACAGAACACTCCAGGACCGGGGACCTACGATCCTTTCAGGAAGTCGTTTGCACAAAGATGTTAAGGAGCCGTCTTTTCCATGATACAAGCATCCCTGCATTCAGTCATTGTTTCAACTTACAGAGTGAAGTCACATAATCCAGTGTTTTAAATATAAGATAAAAGTAAAATCATGGCTGCATGAAAGAGGGAAAACCTTTGGTCTTTTATTACTTGGAGCAACGTTTATCTGCATGTCAGTGAGGGATTTTGTGGTCTGCCAACAACATAATCAGCTACATTCGTCGTGCTCAAATTGCTTTAGTGACGCCGGCCAGGGAAGCAGAATGATCTTATCTGCAACAAAGGGTACTTCATTCCACTTAACTACATGTTCCCGGTATTGCGCCCTCCCTTCATCTCTCTTCCCTCTCTCGCTCCTCTTTCCCTCTCTGTTGGCAGTCAGGCTGCCTTTGCCTTCCTACTATCTCTGCCCTGCGATGCACTCAGGAGGAGGAATGCTGCTCAGCCATGCGTCACATGCACATAGCTTAGTGTGGCATGCTGCACCCTCAGATAACACATTCGGTATTAGAGGCCAAGGCAGTGGCACACAATAAAACAGCTATTCTTATCGCTACCTACTCCACATACTCGCTCTTTCTTTCAACGAAACAAACAAGCTTGGGACACGGAGAGCAGCGCAGATAGGAATCGCCTCTAAGTGAACATAATGCTGTTGTAGATTACCATGCAATAGGGGATAGGCACAGATATAACAAACAAGTTGTTACTGTTAGGAATCTGGACACTGTTATTTACCCAGACAGGACTTTTGCTGAGCATGCATGCACTGCTTTATTGCAGAGTTGTTGAGGGAACTGAGGTGTACTCAGCTCTTCGGCCCAGCCAGACTCTGTTAATGAGATCCAGGGATTAAAGCCCACTTTATTAAGTATTTGAGTGTTGTGTTAAGTACAACCAGAGATGGGCGTTACTGTAATCTGATTACTTTTTTCAAGTAACGAGTAATGTAAGGGATTACTAATGCAAAAATGGTAATTAGATTACCGTTACTTTCCCGTAGGAACGCTGCGTTACTAAAACCGTGATTTTTTTTGCTAGAATGTCTCATGACAGTGACGTAAGCGAGTGCGGCGTTTGTGACAACAGCTATGTGCAGATCAACAATGGATCATATATCGAGTGCGGGAGAGAGTATGAGCGTGCAGCGTTTAAAGCGTGGAAGTACTGATTTTTTTGCGAGAATGTCTCATGACAGTGACGTAAGCGAGTGCGACGTTCGTGACAACAGCTATGTGCAGATCAACAATGGATCATATATCGAGCGCGGGAGAGAGTATGAGCGTGCAGCGTTTAAAGCGTGGAAGTACTTTAAGTTTGAGTCCATAAAAAGTGACAAAAACATTAGTGTCTGTTGAGCGTGGGAAGAAAACGTATTTTTACAGCAAAAAAACCCCCCTAAAATTCCAAGCAAGCACCGAGTGTGCTACGACGTGATGGGAAACTCACAGAGAAACTTGTGGATTCTTCAACTGACCGCTGCGGCACACCTGACCCAAGGTAAACCTCCGCCTACCCCACTCCTGCTTTTCAGGTGAAAATAGAGCAAAAGGACCGCTAGTCTTTGACTTTATTTATTTTCTGCTGTGTTTCACTTGCATCTATTTGAAAGAGTGAGTGTAAACACACAAAAA